CTAAACCCTGAACCCTGAACCCTGGCTCTTCTTCTCAGGTCCCTGGCGTGTGTGGGAAGCCGTACGTATCTGGCTTCGCCTGCAGTCGTGGCTCGTGTGCTTTTGGTTTAGGGTTTAGGGTTTAGGGTTTAGGGGTCTTGTTACAAACTGGCTTCAGCTTTGTTCTGAAAGGCCACGCTGGGCACAAGCTGTCTGTCTGTCGGTCTGTCGGTGTGTTCTGTTCGTGCACAACACACCGGGAATCATGTAGTATCCTAGAGGGTCTTCTATGGCATGCAGTGTTGTGGAGAAGATCGACACTCTATCAGGATCAAGCATGAGGCATGAGATGGACGACTTCAGGGACTTCTCGCGGATTCTATCGGGACAGTGGTTTCTACGCTCCAGACATGCAGAGCGCAGCGCCTCCCTAAGGAGATCACCGACCTCGCTTCCCAGTTCGGAAATGTGAGGACGCTAGTGGAATGGATCAGGCTATGGATTGTGTCAGCTGTCAGGATGGTTGGGACCTCGCGTTTAAAGTTTCTCGGGATTCACGAACGGTTATGGAATTGCATTGGCTATGATTCGGGCGGTATTGGAATATACTAGGTAGAGTTCCCGGGCTGGTTGAGAAATGGGTTCAAGCCGCATGCTGTGGCCGAGGGGCCAGGGTCTGTAACTCTAGAACCTGACAGCCATGCTGTATATCCTACATCCCAACTTCCAAAACCCCTACCCTAAACTCCTAAACCCCATCCCAAAACAAGAGTCCACTTAGGGCCCTGTGTCGTTTCTACCAGAATTTGCAGCTATGCTATGGTCGGATCATGGGCTGAACGCAGATTCCAAGTTCCTGCATCAAACTTGGGATGTGGCGGAGGCTTTCTCCGGTGTTGCCGCCATGGCTGAGATACCCTGAACTGCCACTAGCGCGGGAGAGGCTTAGGGTTGAAAAGGGCCTTCGAGGATAGTCTTCCACCATGGCATGATGGCTTCTTGGACTTGAAGCTGTGCGTCCATGCTCTCACTCTGAAACCGACGCTAACCCCTAAACCCTAAACGCTATACCACCCTTAAACCTAATCTTCTACTCCGGATCCTTACAGTAGACAAACGTAAACCGAAATCCAGCGCACCAGACGTCGGAGTTCACCGGAGCTCATGCACAAGGCGACCTTCCATATGATGGGTCCACCCTAATGTAGGCGCCACAATAATTAGAATGAAGTTTTTTTTTTTTTTTTTTTT